TCTCAACGAGGGAGTGTTTGGGCAGAGCTCCTTACGTTTGGCAGGCTGTTATGATTATTAGTAGTGCTTGTGTACATAATTATTCACTTTGGGGTGATTTTTATGCAATGCTTACTAATCTTAAGCCTGGCTTATGAAAAGACATCATGGAAGGCATTCAGAGATCAGAAAAAAAGATGCATCTACCCTTTTAAATCAAGACACAACCAAGCTGTATAAGCAAATAAACAGACCATACTAGACTTGACTCATGGGCAGTTATTGAAGGGTGAAGATGCCGTAAAATTGTTTTGGTCTGCCCAATTTTAAGTGTTATTTTAAATGTTATGAGACAGCAATTTTTATCAGGACAAGCTTTTATGAACTTATTTATGGACCGAGAAAAACATTTACAATTTTTATTACAAGTACATTTAAAGAATCTTTTCTAGAATCGTGCGCATTCTTGTCAAATGTTATAAAAGGTTTGTTTTTATTATATTGTGTTTGTTATTATGTTGTTGAATGTTTAGTTTGTATCTGCCATGTGATATCTGATGAAGCTAATATTGCAATACATTTAAATACAACAACAGAGATCAGACAAAAGTGTGTATTTTATAGGGATAGTTTCGTCATTTACTCACCCCTTGTGGTGTTCCAAACTTGCTTTCTTCTTTGCGACACCAAAGGAAATGTTTAGTCAATTTTATTAGTATTTTCATAAGCGTTTATTTTTTTACCATATACATTTTCAAAGCAGCTTTACAGAAAATTATGATGTTAATGTTTATAATGTTTTGATGTCTTCATTGCTTATACACACATTTAGCAGATTAGAGCTGGGTGATAATGTAGTTTACATTTTGTAAAGATGTAAATCAAGAAGTTGAGATTTGCTATATAGTATATATCACTTCACGTGAGTATACTGTATGTATGCAAATAAGGTTGATATACATATGTATTCGACTTTATATATATATATATATATATAGAGCTGTGTGATAATGTTTAACAGAATGTTCAAGTTGTTTTGTTTAATAAAATTAAAGTGGATAGAGGGACAAGGAGCTCTCAAGACCCCCCCAAAAAAAAAAAACATTAAAAAAAAAACATCATAGAAGTCATCCATAAGGCTTGTTTGCTGTATCCCAATTCTTCCGAAGCAGTACAAGGAACATTTTGAAATAATGAGGTGTAAGTCATTATTTCTGTTAAAGGGGTCATATGATGCTTTTTAAAAGATCATTATTTTGTGTATTTGGTGTAACAGTATTTGGGGCGCATTATGCAAATATTTCCACATAGTGAGGTAGATATGTGGGGGCGTGTTAGAACGAGCCGTTTTAGGGGGGCGTGGCAGAGCCTTAACTTTGATAAAGAATATCTCTTTGGTTTTGAGACTTTAGTCTTTGCAACTTCAGGGATCTTATCTATGCACAATCAGCTTGTAACACTCCAAAGAGAAAGGAAAACTTGAAATCGCATCATATGACCCCTTTAATATACCACTGTCATTATATGGAAAACAGAGGCTTTGACATTCTGCATAAATAACTACTTGTGTGTTTTTAATTTTTAATTTATTATTTTTCATCTCTTTAATCCTTTTGTCCCCAAGAACCAAGAAATGAACGAAATATCACAGATATTACCCTGGCCAACAGGTTTTTTTTTAAGAAGTGGAGTATACTAAATCATTTTCAAAAGTAAAATGAAAGTTGTTCACATTTTCTGAGAGAACTATGGTACTGTACTTTGCTTTTGGTATAAAGATTGTCTATGCATGAGAACTCAAGAAGATGTTCTGTTTCGCAGCTTATATCCACTCCAACCAGATCATGGGCTGGGGAGAGAAAGCCATTGAGATCCGCTCTGTTGAAACGGGCCACCTGGATGGTGTTTTCATGCACAAGAGAGCTCAGAGACTTAAGTTCCTCTGTGAGAGGAATGACAAGGTTAGACTCCTATTGTTGTAGATAGGCATGGGCCGATTACCGGTTTCAAGGTATTCCCGGGATTTGAAAATGTCACTGTTTCAAAACCGCTAATATTTTCCGTTATACCGTTCCTGCGGTATGCGCTGTTTTTCATGTCTCCTCAAAGACTGAAAGTGTAGGAATCCCTCAGGTTGAGTGAAGTGTAGAGAGTAACAGGACCCTCCTCCTCCTGTTGGTGCAAGCGAGCGGTCAGTCACGTGAGTGTAGGATGGCCGAACTTAAAGGCAGGGTATGTGATTTTTCAAAAACACTTTAGAAAACTGATTCGGGCCGAATAACAAAACAAACTTGTAGCCAATCAGCAATAAGGGGCGTGTCTACTCGTGATGTGGAGGAGAGCGCGTTCAGTGCATGGGACGGACATTAGCCGAGCCGAGCGACAGAAAGATAGAGATGGCGGATAAAAAAACAAAAGAGGAAAACGTCTGCGGAACGACAAGGCAAGAAGTAGGACCCGTGTAAATATCGGATCAGCTTTCCAGCGCTGGAGAGAACTCAAGGAGCGAGGCCTGCGATCGGACGCCGAGGTTGCTTTGTTTCTTCTCAATAGGTGAGTAACACAGTGTCTACAACAGCTAAAGTCTGCCTACACCGGACGCGATCAAACGACCGTTTAATTTTTTCTCCTCTTCTTTTTTTTTTCCTGCAGGTGTTCTTCGCCTCGGTCCGATCAGGCGGTAGCAGTCAAGTGTTCTTCATGACGCTGAACAGGAACTCTTTGATGAACTGGTGAAGCTCCTACAGACCCAACACTGTGGAGTCTTTTTCCTGCCAGCATTGCATCTGTGAGCACACAGTACATTGACAGTTTGGTCTGAAAAAGATTTTAAAATATTAGAGACTCTTGAGGAGTGAGCTTGGAGACATGGTTCTGTCCTGTAGGAAGAGCACTGGCTCTCTGCACACGGCTCATGGAGGTGCAGTATCTGACGTCACCTGCAGTGGCACGCAGTTCTCAGAAGAGGGGGCTGATTACCTTGAACTTGGTTTTAGACCTTATTTGTGGCCTCTGGTAAAGCCTGTTCTTTTAGGGTCCTCCCCTTTACGTTCCTATCCCTGGTTTCCCATTGGTTTTGATTTACTTTTTCCATTGAATTTTAATCAGTTGCATGATTGTAAAGAATTGGACCATATTTAAAAGATATCAAATGTGGGGATAACATTAGCAAGCACTCAGGCTAAGACCAAGCTTTAGTCTCTTCGATGTTTCACTTTAAAATATTGGCAAACACTTCTGTCAGTTTCACAAATATCTGTGATGCCCGTTTTGTCCGATTTCTCAAAAGAGAATGACATGCTTAAAAGAAACGAATAACACTGGTGCTCATTTGTATATTGTCAACAAAATCCATATACTGTACATTGATCCAAAGTACTGTATCGCAAAATATAGTTGAGTTTGTTTTATAGCTTTGAGGTTGGAAATACGGAGCTGAACGGATCATGACTGCATTAAGTTGCATACCATGTTTTGAATTCTTACTCTAACTTCTCTGGTCTTTTTTGAAATGTTTGAAACATGGAGAAACGGAAGCACGAAAGTTAACCGTGAAATCTAGCCATACGCGGAAGAAAACAGACCTCACTGGTTGCATGTTTGTGTAGACACTGGATCAGATGTTGTGTGATGTGTATGTCAGAGCAACATGATATCTGAGATCCAAAAAAAAAAAAACAGAATAAAAAATAGAAAGATAGAAGTTAAAAGCACCTGTATTTCAGTGACGATTGAGAATTGATGATGACTTTATTTAGATTTCATTATAGTGCCTAGCACAAATTAACAAGTATGAAATCAATCTTTAGAGGCACATTGATTTTCTATTTTTGCATAATATTTTTACGCCATATAACTCTTATGTTTCGGCCATCATTTGTAGGCCACAAGTCTCTCTTCTCAACATTTCAAAAGACTCAGCATTGTTAAATTAAGCTGTAGCTTCTTACACTTTTATTTTGCAACAGTGTTTAATGGGTTAAATAAACCTGGGGCTCAAAACATTCCAAAAAGGGAAAAGGTTCTTCATCTGATAATTATGTGGTACTCAAAGTCACTTGGACTACAATATCACAAATGTTGATCTTAACTACTTGGTACAAACGTTGGTACAGAACTACTACAGTAGATCAACAGATATTAACCATAATGTATTGTTTTTGTATTGTTCATTAGCTCTTTTTTCAGTTTATTACGTTTTTTTTGTTTTGTATATTTGCCTGGGTCTTCAGTTTGACGCTTTAGATGTTCTCAAAGTCACTTGATGTTTGCACACTATATAGATATTTATATTTCTTTCACATCTCTTACATAGCAAAAGAAGATATTTTAATGGTGAGGGAATGAGAGGTTTTTAGCAATAATGTCCTGCTGATGTATGTATGTATGTATGCTGTGTGAAACACTGTGTTCGGCCAGTGCTGGGAAAGAACCTCACTGAGCTCTTTTAATTAACTACTTTATTTGACGCTCAAGAATGGTTACTTAATGTTTCTGTCTTAATATGTTTTTAATGATCGTCGAAGCTGTAAACAAGATTTTAATTTCTTTTACGGTGATAGAAGCACTATGTCCTCTTTTGGTTTGTTTTTTTATTTTATGATAAGAAAAAAATAAACAAATAAGTACCTTTTTGGCTGGTGTTAGTGTCCCTCACTCTGTTGAATCTTTGGTTGTTTTCCAGAGCTCATGAAAGCACCAGTATCTCTGAGCGCTGAGAACTTTGCTCTGATAGGTGTAATACATTAACTCTTCTTGCTCAAACACGTAACGTCTTATCCAGCCGCTTTATGCTAATCAAAAAAAGCACCAATCTAGCAATGCTGACACCTGGTATTCTTCAATGTTTGCATCATAAACATGTATTAATATACCTTAAAATTATATAAAAAGTAATGTCAATCATTTTGACCATACAAAAAAAGTGAAACAATAGTCTGGTATTCAGTGGGAAGATGACTGTCCTGAAGCAGCACATAAACAGCAGATACATGGACATCATTAGTGGATCAGGGCAGAAGGTCTCCAGCTCAGCACACATGTGCAGCATGATCCTGCAGTAACAGGATTGATCATTTACTGAGTATTGAGAAAGCAGCCGAGAATCTTGGAGCCACTATTAATGACCAAGAACGGCTTTTGCTGACACTTCATGCAAAATGGAGAAGGTAAGTTGATTTAATCCTTTTTTATGAATTCAATGCCTTTTGATTTCCATCTGAATGATAAGTAACAGGTTGGCAATGCTGAATGGTGTGAATAGTGTCTTATTGATATGACTGTGTCTTTTAACTTTGCATGTTGAATTTAAATGTCATTTTTTTGTGGAAAGTTAAAAACTTTTTTTGTGAATTTACTCTTGTATGAATAAGACAGCAAAGATGATAGTCACAACATGCGGAATAGTGAATGCAGGTGTTACTCATGCTTTGATTATGAGCTTTCTGGGTTTATCATTAAGGTTACTTTGATTTGATGAAATAAACCGCCTTTTAATTGTAAGCTGTCAAATGAATAACCAAAATGACCAGAATACAGATACTTTTATTATGTGTATGAAAAACTATTTTAATAGATTTAAGAAATGCAGGTGTCTAAAAGGTCATTCTGTTTGTATGACTGTTTATTTACATAACTGCATATTTACGTAAGTAGTTAGTAATGTTAATAAACTATGCATATATGTATGTTTGTAATTGCCCATTGTTATTGTTGTTACTATAGTAGATAATTGTAACGTAGTATGTGTTATGTACACTCCTAAATTAGTATTACTAGAGATTTTCAGACCATCAAGAGCTTTAGTTCTGTTTACTCGGGTATTACTCATGTACTTGAAAAAATACATTTAATTATATTTCAGATGTTATAACATTCATTTTTTTAGTTACATCATCTCAGTTATACTAGTAAAGAGTGTTAATCCATCTACATCTAATCGTGTTCATTGTTCCTAAATCAAATTTTTGTTCAAACAAAGAATACGGGTTTTATTCATTTAACAAAAAAAATATATATATTATTTTTCATTTAAAGAGCACAATTGAATTAAAATGTATACCTTATTTTTTTTAGTTCACAAACATTTGTCTTTCAGTGCAAGACCTTTTTATAAAAAGGCTCTGGCCTTAATTATAAATTAAATAAGAGGAAAACATGTAATTGAGTGTTGTAATAAAATGTTTTGTTTGTATTGCTAATTTCTATTGGCACATTCTGAATTGATCAAGAGTAAATGATACTGATACTGTAAATGAACTTTTATGGTAACAGTTTCTGCAGGTTTTAAGAAGGTAAATTTAAGATTTTTAATACCTTTTTAGGACCAAGTAAAGAAAATTTGAGGAATAAACTGAATGGAACAAAATGTCAGTATGGTTCAAAGTTTAAATATACAACTTCCAACATTTTTTTTTTCTTTCACTGAAAATGTCTAAATATTCTTAAAGGGGTCATATGACGTTGCTAAAAATAACATTATTTGGTGTAATGAAATGTGTTTATGCGGTTTAAGGTTCAAAAAACACATTATTTTCCACATACTGTACATTATTGTTTCTCCTCTATGCCCTGCCTTTCTGAAACGCGTCGATTTTTACAAAGCTCATCGGTCTGAAAAGCGAGGTGTGCTCTGATTGGCCAGCTATCCAGTGCGTTGTGATTGGCCGAATACCTCAAGCGCGTGACGGAAATGTTACGTCTCTTACCATACTGTGATGATGCCCTGTCAGGCCGGAGCAGTGTTGCCAGACGTACGATAATTATCATATTTGTACGATAATTTTGACCTCTTTACGATGTACGATCAATAATGAAAAGAAATCCCATAATGTGCGATAATTTCATAATTTTATGACAAATCAAATGATGGTAGTTGTAGTCATAGGGCTTCTATATTCACACACGAAATCGGCTCATTACAGACACTCTAAATGCGCTCGTGCACACCTCAGAGTGTGTTAAGAATGCAGGAGGGTGCCCTGCTTTAAAGCCAACGAGCACTATGTTGCGGTCCATGACGGCAAGAACCCCCTCAACATCTGGCAACACGCAGGCTTCCGATGACAGCGGCTCAGATGTGGAGTTAACAGCTAAAGTCTGTCTACACTGGACGTGACAAAGCGAGTGTTAAAAATTATTTTAATACGTCATAAATAGAACGAGACATCAGTTTACTGTCGGGGATGTGTCATGTCGTGTCGCATCCAGTGCAAACAGTCACTGATTATAATGGTTTCTATAGTATTTTGTCGCACTGCTTGCGTCCAATGTAAACAGGTACGCCTAGTTATCTATTGTGGTAATTTGCAGGTCGTGTCAAAAAGTTGTTGGTTTAGATAAATAGCTGTATTCTGTACGGTTGACTCGTGAACGATAATTTTCTTCCAAATACGATAATTTTGAGCTTCTGGTACGATACTTGGACATTTCCAATCTGGCAACACTGGGCCGGAGCGTAACACAAAACCATGTCAGCATTTGTGATCGGAGAAATGACAAACAACAAGCGCTACTCTACACTGCCCAAAACTCGCGTTTGAATCGTCAGTGGCAAATTCTTTAAATATAAAAACCGTACTTACAGTCTGTGAGTCAGAACAGCCGGCATTGTAGTCTACTCTACCAGGATCAGGAAACGGTCCTCCATAAAATGTGCTGCACACATCTGAATATTTGGGTTGAAGTGTTCTGGAACAGTGTTGTAAATACAACTTAACCACTGATTTCTAGTCGTGTCCTCTTTTGGAAGGCCAAACAAAGTAGTTTCGCTTTTACAACGAAATGCAGCGTCACACGCGGTGGCGGCCTAGAGTGATCGGAGGCTGGCGGCTAGAGCGCGGCCGGCGGATTCGACTAAGGAGCAGCCGGTGGGCTTGCGGCGACCACATGTGACGACCCCGGCCTGGACTCCGCTTCGTCCACAGTGAAAGCCGATCCACCGCGCGAAGTTGATGTATTTCTTTAGCGACCAGCACGGATCAGCTCTAGGCATGAAGAAGCGGATATCATCCTCTTTTGGAAGGCCAAACAAAGTAGTTTCGCTTTCACAACGAAAAGCATCTCCACGGCACATGTGGGGGAGTGTTAGAACGAGCCGTTTTAGGTAGGTGTGGTTGACTCTTAACTTTTATAAAGAATATCTCTTTGGATTTGAGACTTTAGTCTTTGCAACTTTACAGATCGTCTTTATGAACTAACAGCTTGTAACACTTCAAAGAGAAAGGAAAAATTGAAATTGCGTCATATGACCTCTTTAAATCAAGGTACATTTACTTACAAGTCTTGTTTTATGAGACATTGATAAAAATGAAGTGAGTTTATTCTTCAAACAAGAAAAATTATCTGCCAATGGGCTCAGAAAACAGGTTTTTATACCCCATTGACAGATGTTTGTTCTTGTTTTAAGCATAAACTCACTTAATTTTGTTCAATTTCAAAAACAAAAACCAGACTTCATATGCTCAATTTGCATCTGAAGTAAATGTATCTTGATTTAAGGATATTTAGATTTTGTATCCAATTTGTATTAGAAAACAAAGAGTGCTTGCAACGTTTAATGCCATGATTTTATGAATGAAAGACTTTCTGATCAGATTTAAGACCTTTTTAGGCCTTAATTTGAGGAAGGTCAAAATTAGGACCTGTTGTGTTTTCCTGTCTCACAGCAGTTAACAGGCACACTCGCTCTGGCAGTGTTCACAGCTGCGCTTGGCTCTCTGCAGATGGGATACAGCCTGGGCGTCATCAACGCCCCACAGAAGGTCAGTCATCACACCATCATTACAACCTTCACACTCCTAGCTGCATGCAGAGCCAGCGTGATAGGGATTTATCTATTTGAGATTATATCTGTAAGAGAAAGGACTATTGTTCACTACTATTATTGGGAAGGGATTTGTCATGGCATTATGTAATTTGTGTTGTAGGTCATTGAAAGGCACTATGCAAGATCGCTGGGTGTCTATAATGAAGAACTAGCTCGTAGGGAAGGAGGAAACACAACAGAACATGAAGAACCGACTGATGCGTCTGTGGTCATGTACTGGTCCTTGTCTGTGGCCATCTTCTCCATCGGAGGCATGGCGTCCTCCTTTCTAGTGAGCTTTGTTAGCGACATCCGTGGAAGGTAGAGTATTTATGAACTTGTGAATTATTAACGTTAATTGCAAGAAATAGTTTTATCTTTCCTTATCTTGAAAGTATAACGTTTTATGTGTTCAGATTCAGTGGAATGTGACTCATATCTGTGGTCTTGTCTGTATACTATTGATTTACAGGATCAAAGGTATGTTGTTTATAAATGTCCTGGCCATAACAGCTGGGCTGCTAATGGGCCTGGCTAAGATGGGCACACCTTACCTCATGGTGATAGCAGGACGTGCTATCATGGGACTGTACTGTGGTAAGAGACACAACCTTGCCTCTATTTTCATGGAATCTTAAAGGTGACATATCATGCAAATCTGACTTTTCCAGGTTTTAAGTGCTATAATCAGGTCCCCGGTGCATCTACCAACCAAGGAAACGTGAAAAAGATTAACTCAGTAACTTTGTTTTTGGGAAGCCTTTTTCTGCAAGCGTCTGAGAAAACGAGCGCGTCTGATTTTGCTCCCTTGGTGACGTGGCAAAGGGATCTCATTATAATATTACCACCCCTTAATCTGTAAGTTTACACCCACGGCGCCGTCATTTGATTTCGCAAGCGACAACGGTGTAC